CCAAAACATGCCTCCATAGATGGTGTAGAAAAAGGATTAAAGTGATTTAGCATTTTAGCCTTTATGACTTTTACATGAATGCTCCATCTGTCTGCTCCTGACCCAGCCCTCCGTCAAATTTCGTCAAAGGTCTACAGCTGCCTATTCTCTTCATCAATGAAAATCTTGTTATGAACGCTAAATTGCAAATTTGAATCCACTAAAGAGGCAGAATCAATGAAAAGCAACAGTGAACAGTGAGGTAATGTTGTTAATTTCCTGAAGTTTGGTGCCAGGGATGAGTCATTTTCAAACTCCAGTTTCTTTTTGGAAATGCTGTTTAACAGCAGGACAGACGTGATAATGAAGATGAGCACAACTGACAACAAAACCGCTCATGTCATTTTAAAAAATTTGCATAACTTTAACCACAACAAAAAGGCTGAGGATGAATAAATTCACCTAAACCTTCTCAGCCCCAAAGCTGTGGTTTACACTCTCTCCAGTGAACTTGTTCCAAACCTGCATTCTTCTTAACCATATGTAGATGTCTCACATTTGCCAAACGCAACAACACGTCAGAATAATTTTTAAAAAAAGTGTTTTTCCTAAGGCCTACGGTCTCATGACTCCTCATCAGCTGTGCCAACAGCACCGCAGTACACCAGACAAATAAATCACCGCGCTGGGAAGCATCTGCACCAGGGAAGCTGATGCGGATGTGAGTTTTTTTTTTTTTTTTTTTTTTTCAAAACAGATGTCTTTGTCCGTCTGAAATAACATCAGATCCATCCCCTTACATACGCTGGAAACTCCGACACCTTCCTTTCAACCACCAGGAGGATAACCACAACAAAAGGCCTGAGTTCTCCGTCTGTACCCATGCACCTCAGATGTGGGTATTTTTTCCCTCTCCTTAAACAGACAATGGAATGAAAATATTGTGGCCTTGGTGTTTGATGTGGACTCTTTTCTTGCTCTTGTCTCTCAGGTGCGTGAGAGAGGAACACCAGCACACAGACAAAAGCCTCATAAAACTTGAGAAATACACACTTTTCTTTCTTATTTATGAATTCCCACAAACACATATTTGTCCTACAGAGCGTGACCTTTAATCCTGATTGGCAGCGTAAAAGTGGATGAGCACGCAGCTCATGAGAACACACACACACACACACACACATACGGCGCTCTTTTATCATTCAAAGTGCAGCAGAGCTATCAACCTGAATAAATAAATCCCTGTCTTATCTCAAGACGCAAACCTGGGTAAGCGTTCCCACCGGCTCAGGATGGAGGAAGCTGTCAGCACCTCTATTTTGGTTTGCCTTTGCCTCATACAGAGACAGAATCCTGTTTTTCTCTCCAATCCATCCTCCTGGTTTTCAATCCCCAGAGAGTCGTTTTCCTCCCGTGTGTGTGATACGTGTGTGTACGTGCGTGTGTGTCCCAGCCACGTCATCCATACATGATCCCTCTCTCCTTCTTATCTTCGCTGACAGGGCCTTAATCTTTCGACTGTTGATAAATCCGCTACGTTGCAGAATATTTCTCACATTATAGGATTTTTTCCACCTCTTTTGGACTTAAACCGTCTGTGAGTTCTTCTCACCACAACACCGTCAATTTCCCATATCCCGGTCTCTACCTCCTGTGAGCTGGAGCAGCCAGGTTACTGTCAGGTGTCAACACGTTGTCAGCACAACGAGTTAAAGCTAATTCCTTGCCTTTATTGAATCTGTTTCCACTAAAATAATAATGACTTTACCTTTGAAGACCAGCTGTCTTTGGGACAAAGGAATTGTTTTTTTTATTTAATACCTCATCAATCGATTCATTGAAGTTGTATAACGTGCTGCATAATTACTAGATGTGAGAATACAATTTTGCACTGACTTACATTTTACTTAATATTGATGCATGATGCAAAAAAACAAACAATAAACAATATAGCATATCACTATTACCAAAATGAAAATCTAAATAAACTGGGAATCAGCCAAAAACACTGCAATCACTTCATCACTACAAAGGATCAACAGCTCCTGTGTATGCTGATGTAAAGTTGAAGGATTTATCAGGTTCTGTGTCTACATGTTGTAGAAACAGGCCTTTGATATTTATTTAGATTCAAAGTTGACAATATTTGAGGTTGTGATAGAAACTCTGCCCTGTATTTCCAAAGTGTCAGGAGAAAAAAAAAAACCCAGCACCACTGGTATCTCTATTAATCCCAGCCTCACACGTCTGTCTGCGTTTACACAACTCCACTCGTCACTTGTACTTTTCTTGTCTCGCAGCGGGAATCAACGCCTTATGGTTTCATGTCAAAGGCATCAAGTGAAGCGTCTGGTGTTAATGTCAACTTCTGTCATCAGTACAACTGTGGGTGTCGGCCTGTCTTTGTGTGTGTGTGTGTGTGTGTGTGTGTGTGTGTATGTGTGATCTCCAGGACGTCTGCAGCACAGCAGTGGTGTGGAACACGCTTCATCTGCAGCAATGACATCGTTAAGGCAGCCAGACATTAGACATGAGAGGACTCTCCCTGTTGCCTTCCACTGGACACACACCATTACATTTGATAGCCTTCGAGTGTGTGTGTGTGTGTGTCTGAGCCTTTGGTGCCCCCCCCCCCATATCCTGTGTGGGGGGTAAAAATGGCTGATTCAGGCCTATCTACCATTTTCTGTTTCATCTTCATGCAGCCGTAACGTCTGTGGGTGGGCAGACATCCCACCACTGATGTTGGTGATGATAATGATGATGATGATGATGATGATGATGGTGATAATGGTCTGTGGTCCTAACAACACGTGTTCACTGCGGGACAGCGTTGTCCTGAAAACAACAAAAGTAATAAAAAGATTTCTCCTCGTCACACTTGGAAACAATCGTCTGTTTTTTCTTTGTACTACAGCGGTGGCCACCACAACCAATCATCTGCCTCCATCTACATGTTTTCCTTCACATCATCAGTGAAGCTTCTTGGGGGTCTCTCGCTCCCTCTCTCTCTTTTCCTCCATCTTCCATATCTTTTGTCCCCCATGTCCACTGTCTCTGCTCTACAGATTGAGTGTCTCCACCTTCATTTCCAAATGTAGCTTTTCAGCCGGAGTCTGAACCGTTCATCATAGCAGGTCTCACTACCATGTTATCAACCATCCATTTCACACTTCCTGTCCACCACGTCTTCTTCATTTCTGTTATTTTGGGTCAATGGCAACATGAACGGTTCCTATCTCTACCCTTCCATCTGTAAAGACCAACCATACTCACTGTCATCTGTGAACATCAAGGTCTGTGCAGACATGTTCTAGTCCTTGTTTGTCAACCTGTCAATCACCTTTCCAATAAAGACATGTTTTTTCTGTACACCAACTTTACTGTAAACCCTTTGTCATTCTGACCACACTCCACGTCATGCACAGTCCAAATTGACTTCACCCATTCATGATTTCCTCCCGCAGCAATGTTTTTGTCTCGACACTCTTCCATAGACTTCCCACTGATCCACAAAGACCCAGTAGAGCTCCCCTCGATCTTCTCTGACCTCAACGCTTCAACCTCCTTTTTATTTTTTATTCTCCTAATGGCTTTTTTCGCCTTCTCACCAAGACACCTGTTCATTCATCAGTAGAGCAGCAATAAAATGACAGATGAGGCCAGAGTTCACCACAGGTAGTTTAACTAACCTGCACTATCAATTTGACCATTTTGATCAAATGCATCCACTGGTGTTGGTGATAAAGTCTATCTCACTGGTGTAGACCAAATGGAAGCCAGAGAGAGACAGAGAGAGACAGTGATTACAACAAATCTTTGAAAAAACGGTTCCTTTTTTTCTACCCAAACTATCACAGCGGTCTCATAACTGTAATGATTGAGTCCAGAGAAAGGCTGATGGTGTTTGCTCTTTGCTGCCTCGCTGCGTCGTATGTAAGGCACAGCTTTTTTTTATTAGCCTCCGCTGTGTTGGGAAATGGAAAATAGGAGTGGGGAGGGAGTGGAAGGGGGGTCAGCATCACTCCTGCAGTAAACCAGTTCAACTGTCACCCCCACACACAGGAACAAACAGCCCATTAAACCAGGGCCTTCACATATTACTGCAATAAAAGCCCCTGCGCCTGCCTTTATGGGCTTTTTAATTATGTCTATTCGTCTTCCTGGGTTTGTGCAACAGTTCACGATGAGCCCCATTTCAGGAACACACTCTGCCTTGGGCAGGGAGCTGGAGGGGGTGAATTAAAGACGAGAGAAGAAAATGGCCCGAAGCTAAAATATGACTACTGTTCCTGGAATGTTTGACCTCACAGCCAGGAGCTAATGGCTCAGCTCTGCTTTGCTTTCTTCTCCCATTTCTGGGTTTGCTTTGTTTTACATGAGGATGAGAATAAAGCGAACATATTTTAGCTCAGCAGTAATGTTGTGTATTTTAGATTAGCTCAGAGTGATGGCGGGTCTGGCTGGAGGATACAGAAAGCATTAACCAAACAAATCATTTGGGCAGGAATTGAGTCCCACACTGTGGAGCGGCAATAGTTTTTCCTTCATTTTCTCTTTATGCTTCTGTGTACAGAACAGGAAAATCATTTGTGTTAATGCATTCAGTAATAGCACTAATGTTGATCTAACTATCTTAAAGACCTATAACAACAGAAACATGCAATATTGTAAAGAAACAAAAGGAAACCAAACAGAAAATCAACAGATATACAGCCAAAAAACACAAAAAACTCCCAACTCCACAAATAATAATAATAAAAAAAAACAAAAGAAAAATGTTAGTCATGTTAGGCCAGAAATAGCTAAAAGCCAACCTTAAAATATGACTTAAACAGTCCCTGCTGTAGGTACTACAAATATCTTTTTCAAGCACTGAAGCTTGAATAGATCTTTGTCCAAGTATAGGTTAGTGAGGAATGTTTTGTTTTTTAAATTTAACACAAAAATGTTCATCAATTTCTCATCAATTTCGGAGTTACCAAACAGAGCGATCGAGGAGTGTGTGCCAGATGGATCAACAAAGACAGGGTTTTAAATATAATTTTCTCTTTATTTCATGTAGTGACTGTGTACTCAGTGGACTTGTCTTGTCTGTTGCTAATGATGAACCCAATGATGAGCAGCAACATCACAGCCACAGCTGAACCTGCTGCACACCACAGAACTAAAGACGAATCAGAAGCTGAGGAGAAGAAGAGAAAGAGTAACATTTTAGGATTTTAAATTAGTTTTATACAGAGTAGAAATAAGGGTTGTTGTCTAACAAATGTCAACAAATAAAGAACATGTACTATCTACACTAAGAAGTACTATCTACACCATAATCACTCAGTGTCCACTTCATCTGTACCTGTCTTGTTTAAAGTTATTACATTAAGACTTGACACTGGTGGTGGATCTGAAATGGTCTGTTTCCATTTCAATCCATTTTCTACCACTTATCCATTTCAGGTCAGGGGGCGCTGGTCAGTTATCAGGCCAGGACAGGGTACAGCCTGGTCAGTTGGCCAGTCCATTCCAGGGCTACAGTAGAGACTCACATTCATACTTAGAGTTTGGTTAAGTTAGACTTCAACCCACAGTCCACACTATACAGTAGGTATCTGAAGAAAACCCACGCACAAGTGGGAGAGAATGTACCACAAGGCAAAAACACTCCCCACATCTGTGACCCCTGTGAAAGATGTACTTGCCGATTTGCCCCCTCAACCTCAGGGAGACCATTCCTCCATGGGCACCACTAACATTAACATCTTGACCACTTATATCCCTAAGATAACATTGCTCACACAAATGTTACTACAAGCAGGACAAACATTTAATCTAAAAGCATCACTGGACTACATCCAGTAAAAGAACCTTTTAATTGCGGTGGAACAGGAGATTAACTGTGGCTGTGGAGCAGACAAGTCTGCTGCTATCTAATTAAGTTAAGTCTAATGCTATCATATCATCGAAGACCAAAACACTTTTAAAGTAAGTTAGGAAGGCAAAAGTATTTCCAGTACCAAAAATAACAACATGAACTAAATGAAGTACGCCAACGTCAGCATGTTTGAGAAAAAGATATAAAAACAGGCAGATCAATGATAATTATTAAACCACTTTGAACATGCCTATAAGGTTGTTACTGGTACTATGTAACATGACCATCACCTCTGTGTTCACCAGTTACTGTGATAGAAATATAATGACCACAGACAGAACAACCCCGTCATCCTGACAGACCTGTCTCCTCCTCTTGCATCCGAAGCAGGGACAGCTGCTCTGGAGAAAACGCCGTCACCTCAGTCAACTCCTCCAGCAGGATGGGCCCGAGGACCAGTGTCTCCTCCCACTGCACCTCTGCAGGAAGACCTACCACAAAACAGCGGCTAAGTAAAGTATTCATAACACAACCGGTTGGACAATTAAGGGGATTACAGGAAAATTAATCCCCCCATGATGTACGCAGAACTGCCTCAGTGCCAAATGAAGGTAAATGAGCTTGTTCCTACATGGATGGACGCTCTGCTCCTCTAAAGCCTGGCCTGGCTGTGTTTGCTGAAC